CTTCTTTTTATTCTTTCTCTCTCTCTCTCTTCTCCCTTCTTCTTCCTCTTCAGATTTGGGTTTTCTGGCTGGACAATGAAGAGGATTGCTCCAATATGTTTCTGCCCTTCTTCGAAAGGGTATCAGGCGTCTTGTACTGAATCCCATGCGCCCTCATGTGCATCCTAAGATTCGCATCTCTTTTGAATCCCTTCCCACAAATCTCGCAAAAATGGATGTGCTCCGTCAACAGCTCCACCGCATCTAGCTCCACCATCTCGCAATCCTCCTTGTTCTCGTCGAGGTTGCTTTCATCGTCATAATTGTTATTAATTTCCTTCTTTGTAAGCTTCAAATCCTATCCCGACACCAAAGTGGCAACAGAGCTCATCGCCAAATCAAGTAGCTCAGACTGTTTTTGAGTGCAAGAGAGGAGGGCGGTACCATTGACAATGATCTGCTGGATGGCGGAGGAAATCTCAGAGGAAACCATGTCCATCTGATCCTTGGGCAACAGAGTATTGCTGTTGAATGATTGCAATAGGAAACTCTGAAGGGAGTCCATTCTCGTTCAGACTGTAGCGAGGTTGAACAGTGGAAGTTGAGCATCCATCTGGCTAATCCACTCTTTCTGGAAAGAAGGGCCGACGCAAGAATATCCCGCTGGAAGGCGAAAGGATTCGTCGGGATCTAACATGATTCACTACTATCGTGAGAGGGAATGACGTGTGGCGTTGGGTCTTGGTCAGTAAAGTAAAACCCAGATCTGGAAAGGAAGAATAAGGGAGAAGAAAGAGAAAAAGAATAAGAAGAAGAAAGACGAAGGATGAGCAAGGAAAGGAAGGAGGAAGGTTGATAGCAGGGGCGGAGCCAGAAATTTTTTTCAAGGGGGCGAGATGCTAGACTTTTTTTTTTTTAATGAATAAAAAGTATTATTAATAAAGAGAGTACAAGAGGTAGTCACCCATGCATTATATCAAAAGTTTAGTAAGAAATTAAAAATTTACTGCTTAGTGAAGTGGGAATTGACACCAATCCATAAAATTGAACTTAGCACAAGTGGAATTTCCTTTGATCCTGCAGAAAGTTTTAGATTGAATTAAGTCAATCAATTTATTTTCATTCAAAGGCTGTTTTTCAAAAGTAATACCATTTTTGCTTACCCAAATGGACCAAGCAGCCATTGAGATGGTGAAGTTCCAGCTACTTCTTGCTTTCTTGGGGATCTGTAGCGAACTAAGCTGATAAAGCATGGCAGAGGCATTATTTGAGGGAACAAAAAGGAAACCCGAGCAAGATGCTAGACTTTAAATTGTAAATAAAGATAGCAAAAAGTATATACCTTTAATTTTTAAGCTGTGCCCTTCGTTGTTTCATAAAGTAGAAATCATCTATAATCGAGTCTGTAGTAAATTTTTCTGCAATCTCCTTTTCAATGTAAACAATCATATAATCTTTGAGAAAGTCATCTTCCATTTTGTTGCGGAGTCTTGTTTTGATGATTTTCATAGCAGAAAAAGCTCGTTCAGTGGTTGCTGTTGACAAAGGAAGAGTTAAAACAAGTCGAATCAATCTATCAATGAGAGGATAAACTTCTGATTTTCTAGTTTCCACCAACACTTGACATAATTCAGAAATAGTAGATAAATTCTGAAATCTTGGATGAGAAGGTACATCAAGCTTATAGTGTTACAACTCATATTTCAGACAAATCTTTTCTTGATCTGAAAAATCTGAAGGATAGTACTTCTCCACAAGTTTGTATATGTCATCAATACTAAATGATTTATAGTCATTGTGAGGATCCAAAGCTGAGCTCAAAGTAAGAAGTTTTGTAGCTTGCTCATTGAACCTACAATTCAGTTCTTTTAATTGATAATCTAACACACTTGTGAATATATCCACTCGATAGTGATGCTCAACTGTTACATCATTCTTTTTTCGACGAGAACGAATTATGTCACAAAAAGAAGCACTCATATCAGGAATTTGGATGGAATGAGTCTCACAAAAAGAAGTCACATCATGTAAAAGAGTATCCCAACCACTATTTCATAGATCTTGAAGCAAAAATTTTGTGCTAGATACTAAACCCATAGCATTTAAAATATCTTGATTTTTTTGTTGCAAAGCTTGGCAAAGTTTATCAGTAATTCCCATGATTTCCTTCATCAAATGTAAAATGAAGATAAAGTCAAATGATGGCAATGACTTAAGAGCAAAAGTAGCATCACCTCGTTGAGAGTATGTGGATCCTTCAACAGCCACATTTTCAAGAACTGAGGTAGTTGGAGTAAACATTCGTAAAAGGCTACATATTGACTTAAAATGAGAACTCCATCTTGTGTCTGCTGGTCTTTGTAAAGTGCCCAATTGATTGGCTCCTCTTCCTGTTTCAATCTCATTAATTTCAACTAAACGAGCAATTTCAAGTGCATATGTAGCTTGCAACTCATCATGATGCTTGCAAGAAGAACTGGCAATGTTAATTATAGAAGTCAAATTCTGAAAAAAAAGCATGAACATCAGGTGCTTCTCTAGCTGCAGCAATAAGGGCTAATTGTAATTGATGAGCTAAGCAATGCACATAATAAGCATAAGGACATTCTTGAAGAATTAAAGCTTGTAATCCATTCCATTCTCCATGCATATTACTAGCTCCATCATACCCTTGACCTCGAACATTTTGAATGCTAAGATTGTGATGGGATAAAACAAAACAAATCTCTTGTTTAAGAGTCAATGCATTTGTCTCTCTGACATGTACTACATCTAGAAGACGCTCCTTCACAAACCCATCTTTATCAACAAATCTAACAACGATTGACATTTGTTCTCTTTTAGATTCATCACGAGCTTCATCAACAATTAAACAAAATTTTGCATCACCAATCTCTTTACAAATTTCAGCTTGAACCTTTCTAGCAAAAACTTGTAAAATCTCCTTTTGAATGGTTGGAGATGTATATTTTGCATTTTGTGGGGCATTCTCTAAAACAACTTCATTCACTTCCTTATTATAAGAAGTCAAAAGATTGATCATCTCAAGAAAATTACCACGGTTTTTTGAATCCAAGCTTTCATCATGCCCTCTGAAAGCACAAGCTTGAAAAGTTAACCATCTAACAACATCAATAGAAGTTTTGAGACACAACTGGTTCTTCTCAATTTGTTGTGAGCTTTGTTTGTCTAACACCTTTTCAACATGACAAGACTGATTCTTAAAATCTTCAAGGCATTTAACAGCAATATTGTGAATTGAATTTGGATCCTTTCCCATGTGAGCTAAAAATTTACATTTATCCCCATTGTTGACTTTTTTCCATTTTTTGAATCCGATTGAAGTAAATGTCTCTACCCCTCCTTGTTTCCCACTTGGTTTTTTTGCAAACAAATAGCAAGGAAAGCAAAAGGCAGCATCCTTTGCAGGTGAATATTCTAACCAAGGAAATCTTTCCAACCAATAAGCTTGAAATCGATGAAGATTTTTGTTTGGACCAAAAAGTGGATAAACTTGTGGGTTGTTTCGATAGGGACCAAATTGTATGTATGCCCTACGAATTTCATCCTGTTGATTGATAGGGTAATTTGAAATTTTTGGATGTATGCCAGGATCACGTTCCAAGGAAGCAATATCAATGTTTTGTCCAATTTTCAAAACTTTGGATGGAGGTTGTTCCAAATTAGGCATTGTATTTGGCTGAAGTTGAACAAAATTTTCTATATTAGGCACAGACTCGAGATTTGAAATTGGTGTTACCAGAATAGATTGTGTGCCATAGTCATCACTATTTCTCTCTTTTCTCTTGAAAAAGGAATCAATTGTTACTTTCTTAGACATCTTCCAACCTTAAAAACAAAAAATCAACCCATTATCAATGTTTTAAAATATCACATTCATTATTTACTAAAAATTTAGCAATTGCACAAAAAATTCAAAACCTAATATAAGAAGAATTAAATTATTTGCATTCAACAGGATTAAAGAGATCTGTTTTTCTGGTACATTGGAACTGACTCATATATAGTATATATCATGGAAGAAAGGTTCGGAAGAAAAAAAAATTTACCAAGTCTCTGGAAGCATGTTGTTTGCTATATAACTCATTCCTTAATCCTTAGGATATATATTAAATAAAGAAATTTTGGGTTTTGCCGAGTTTACCAAGAATCAGTTATGATCCTAGTTTGAGCAGAGTCATATACAAGTCATATACAATAACTAATGAGTAACTATAATTCCAACTTTTCAGGAATATGAAATTATAATTTTTTCAATCACTTAATAAAAATAAGTATAAATATAAAAAGAATACAGAGATAAAAAGTTAAGAACCTACTCCAGCCAGTCAGTGCTTTTCGCTTTGAAATAAATTGATCAAAACCTAACACAAAAAAAATTAAATTATAATTAGTAACTATAATTTCAATTTCCCAAGAGTATGAAATTATAATTTTTTTTCAATCACTCAACAAAATTAACTATAAATATAAGGAGAACAACAAGACAAAAAGTCAAGAACATGCTCTAGTGCCCCTTTGCTTTGAATTAAATTGACCAAAAGAGAGAGGCAAAAAAAAATGTCTTCTTAGGGACCACTCACCAGTCTCATCGACCAGGCGACCACATACCAATAAATTCATAAAAAAAAAAACTCTAAAATATTAAATGCTTTTGAGTTTTAACTTAAATACCTTTCACTTTTCTAACATTCCAAATTGTCTACTCTCTCCTCTACCATTCTCCTTTAATCTACTGGGCTGTCTGGGACTCTGGGCATACTTCGAGTCAGATGGGAGAAGAATTAGGAGTTTTCTTCTTTTTTTTTTTTTGTTCTACCGTGCCCCTCTTTTCTTTCGAAATCTGCTCTGCTTTTTTCAAAGGGATAAAGAAGACTAGGGTTTTTTATGGTTGGGTTTGGGTTTTGATGGGCACTTAGTTTATGGGCTGGTTTATAAAATTGGGTTGAGACTTGAATTAAATGGTTAGTGGGCTCAAGATTTAAGTTTGGGCTAGATTTGTTGGGTTTTTTTTTTCTTTCTTGATGAATTGCACCCTTAACTTTTAATTTCTTCACAAATTTTCAAAGTTTTCTTCACAAATTTTCAAAGTTCAGGGGGGGCTAGATAATTTTTCATATATTAATGTACAGGATTTTCAAATTTCAGGGAGGGCGAGCGCCCCCCTCACCCCCCCTTCCCTCCGCCACTAGTTGATAGAGATGCTAAGCTTCAAGTTTTAGGGTTTGCAGAGGTAGGAAAAGGAAAGGTAAAGGAGAGAAAAAGTGAATGAGGAAAAAGAGATCATTTTTTTGTCTGATCGTGGGTGGAAAAAAAAAGTACATCATTATTTTTAGATTAAAAAAAATGCTAAACTCATAAAAATGGATGGTCAATTATATATTTTTTTCATGTCATTAGTTAAGCAAAAAAGAATTGATTTATTGATAAATTAACTTATTATTTATCCACTTAACTGATAGAAAGATGGTTTTGGTATCGAAATTGAAAGTTTAAAGATAATTTTAATACCTTTTAAAGTTGAAGCATAATTTTAGTGCCAAAGTGAAAAGTTGAGGGATCAAAATGGTATTTAAACTTATTTATAACTTTCAGTGGTAGAGTTAGGATTAATGATGGGGGGCCAAATTTCTTGACACTTAAATTAAATTTGTATTTAAAGTATATAATTTTCTCTGATATGTTTGGTTGTGTTAATTTGATTTTTACATAAAGTTTAATTTAATGATTTTATTTAAGAAATAGATGACGATTGAAAACTTTTTTCTTCACCCACATGGTTCTTATTGAATATTTTTATTTAGATAAAATAATTTAGTTGTTATTAATTTTTTTTATAAAAAATCATTAAATTAATTAACATAAAGTTGATGAAATTGGATAACTTAAAAAGGGAGTAGCACATAGTTGTAAAACTGTAAATTTGTGTCTAAAATTAAACTTGGCCACATTCAATGTAAAATATATTATCCTTTGAAATCTTTGGCAATTAGTAAATAATTATCCAATTATATTTGTGGAAAAAAAATATAACATAACAAATCTAAAAAAATGTAATAAATTTAGAAATATAACAAAAATTTATATAGCAAATGTTAAAATTTAATAAAAAGATTTAATTTAATAAAAAAGATTAAGTTAGAAGTGAAGTTTTAATATTTGACCTAGAAAAAAAAGATATTAGTTACTAAAATGAATATTTTAGACTAATGTTTTAGTCACTAGCAAGGTGATGATCTATGATTTTTTAAGGGTAGAGAAATGTTAAAGTTTAAAGATTTTCTTACCAACTTTTTAGTAAAAAATATTAGATATTCAAAGGCCGTTTTTGTATTTAATACATTAGCTTTAAAGAGTTATTAATTGTTACGTTAGCATTCTATTTTAAATTTAATGATAGGATTTATAAAAGGAGTAATGATAATTAATTTCATAAATATTAAGAATAATTAGGTGAATAAAATAAAATCCCTAAAATTCAAAATTTGAAGACTAATTTAAAAAATTTTCAAGAGACTAGGGAGCAATGTGGTTCCCCCATTGATAATTTTGACATATAATTAAATGAGTAGATGCATATGATATTATTAGTTTTAATATAGTGAAAAGAGCTATTTATTAAATGACGTGCAAAATTGTATCAAAAAATTATCTCTAAATTATTTTCTTACCCTTCTTTTATTTTGAATTATATGATTGGATACAATTCTTGTCACGCCCCAAAACCCAAATTCGAGGCGTGACAAAACGCTGTGCATTCGTGAGACGGGTCCCACAAATGCACAAGGCTCGAAACTTATCAAATTCACACTTTGATACCATCAAAATCTGAAGATCAATAAAATAAAATCTCCAAATACAAGATCATGATTCATATCTAAAATCTATATCAATCCCGAAATGGCTAGCTTTCTAACTCATCACTTCCCGTGGTTTCCCCGTCCTCGATTTCACATCCTGAAATGGTAGACAAGAAAAAACTATGAGATAAACTTAGTAAGTAAATATGGAGTGCCCCTTATCAAACTTAAAGCATGCCAACAAGTACAATCACGAAAACAGATACAGTACGGGCACGAAATAGACGTCTCCTCTATAGGTCACGACCAGTGTATAATCCCCACTAACAAGGCCACGATTTGCTGGTGTATAACCCCCACTAGCTGGGTTGAACGAACCGGCTCTTTCACTAACATGTCGACATGTGCTAGCGTTTGTAACCTCCCCTACTAGCAGGGTCACGAATAACATGACCACATCGGAGACAAAACAGGCAGAA